ACTCAACCTATGAAATGGGCAATGCGACTTAGAGCTGCTTTGTACCTTGCCCAAGCTTTAGAATACTGTACCAACAGAGGACGCGATCTATATCATGATCTCAATGCTTATAGAGTTCTCTTTGATGTTGTAAGTTCATTCCTTTCATCTATGTCACATCATATATTTGAAAGTAGAAATGCTTACTTTTCGTGAAGGGTGCATTCTATTATATCAATTAATGCGATCCTGAAAATTACGTCAATTCATTAAATGGTAGAAGGTTTGCTACTGACTTTATATCTTGGAAAGTTGCACTAAAAATTGCCTTGATATTTATAATAAACTTCCAATAACAAGTCGACAAGTAAGTATCTTCTCAAATTTCGGGTTTTCAACTCCACATCTATAGGCTTTATTTATTTTTGCTGAACTAGAAATGATTTTGAAGGCTAAGGCTCAGTAAGATTGTAAATCAAGAGAAATCAAGCAATCGTAGAGAGGGAAGTTACTGAAAAAAGGATCAAACTGAGAGCTATTCACCGCCAAGAGTGTATAGTGACATAAATAACAGAAATCACTTCCAAGCTAAGAGCTTTATTAGCCAATGCAAGATTAAAGCCACTGGCGATTGAAATTCTGAAACAGAAATATTTCGTTTTTTTAAGTAAAACTACATATTAGATAGTACTATGTAGCTAAAATAAACTCGGCAAATATTTGATAAAGATAGATATCATGATGCAATGTAACCTAGAGATAATAAAGTGCTTTTAACAATCTAAAGATACGCAAGGGTAAGGGTGGTTTCCTCTTTCCTGTATGTCATCCTTGTACTTTTTTCCAGGAGGGCAATCCTAGACTTTCATGCTTTGGTTTGATGAAAAACAGTCGAGATGGGAAAAGTTACAGTACAAATCTAGCATTTGCCCCTCCTGAGTATCTCAGAACAGGTACTCCCCACCATCGCAAACTTGTACTGTCAGATCTTCTATTCTCCGTGAGTTGAAAGTTGGGCTTTCATAGTAAACTTTTGAAACTAATCAAGTTACACTCTCCTTAGAGTTTTTTCTGTTCCAACTCAAATTGTTATGTGATTATGTCCAATTTATAGGCTTTCAAACAACTGACCGTGAACTAAGAAAAGCACACCATTGAAGATTGGAGTGTTCTTTCTTATGGTCTAATTATCTTGCAATCCATTCTTTCTTTCCTAGGGTGTAGAACTCCCTTTGCATAGTTTCTGGAGATGCCAACCGAGCTTTCATTTGTTATTACCATTTTATTCTTTTATCTTTCCCTTTTAATTTTTTTTTAATCACTTCTTAAAGAGACACTTTACCTAGAAGAGTTAATATCCAATTCTCTCAAAATGGTTAAAATAATATCAAGGAAACTTATTTTCATATGGTTGAAATTTTCCTTATTTTTGGTTTATTGTTATATGTCTAATTGTTTTCTGTCTTTAAGAGCACCCAAGACTCATGTTTTGAGAACGAAATTAATCTTTAATCTGTAAAATGGATCCCTTTACCAGTAAATTTTGTTCTTAGGTTAAACTGGTGCTGTCTTAGACCAGTTTTACATGTCCTATTGTAGCAAATAGATTTACATCATGAGTTGTGTGTATTATACATTACTAGTTATTTACCCATGAATAACATGGGTTTCTAACAAATATTCTTTAATAATAAATTTGTAAATTTAGTTAATAGACGATGAGAACTCCCATCGTCCTGTTCTTCTAGGATCAATTTGTGAAGACAAAGTTTTTATGACACAACAGTAATATATCAACACAATTCACTGACGTTCAACACGTCATAGCCCTTATCCCTTCCAATTACTCCAAAAGAAAAGAAATTTTATGTGATATGATGATTTTTTCGTATTATTATTCTTCCTTTATTTCTTATGTCCTGAATATGGTATCCATGAGGTGAATGTACTCAGTATCTCTGTGCTTTCCTTACCCTGGTTATGCAGGAAGAGTAACTCCAGAAACTGTAACATATAGTTTTGGCACCCTTTTGCTTGACCTTCTCAGTGGAAAACATATACCTCCGAGCCATGTAAGTTTCTTTCCTCGATGCAAGGCTCTGCACAACAAGTTTATTGCACCCTGTTGGTGGTTTAGAATACACTGGCTTGTCACATATCTCTTATTATCCACTTGAGGAAAAGAAAGAATGAAGAGTATGAGCTTATTGAAAATGGGAGGATTTGGTCAGTATGTTGACGAGAATGTTTAGGTATTCTGTCTTGACCATTAAAACAGGCCCTAATGCATTGATTGCAATTTTTTCGTGTTACAAAAGAATGAATATATGCTATATGTCTACTTGTTTTGCCAATCTTCTGACTGTTACTGATCTCTTGGCCAGATGAACTTCTTTCCCTTTTCTTGTTAGTCACAATCTTTTATGATAAAAAATGATACTCTGGGTTGAATGTAAATTTTGCTTGAGGTCATAGCGTGTGGTATTATTTTATCACTTATTTTTGTAATTTTTCAGGCACTTGACCTGGTTCGGGGAAGAAACCTTCAGATTCTTACAGACTCTTGTTTAGAAGGACAATTTTCAGTTTATGAGGGAACTGAGTTATTGCGCCTAGCATCACAATGTTTACAACCTGAACCGCATGAGCGTCCTTATCTCAAGTCATTGGCCCCTGCTTTGATACCCTTACAAAAGGAATCCAAGGTTATTTCTGTTATTCGAGTAACATCTGTTTTTTAGGATGTTTAGGATTGCTGAGGCTGGTTTTAATTTCCTGTCTACAATTGTCATGGCTAACAGTTTATGTTTGATAGTCATTAGGCTCTGGTTTGTTCTGAGAACTGAAACCATATTCCAGTAAGCTGGAATGAACTTTTGCTATATTATTTTTCAGGTTCCTTCTCATGTGCTTATGGATATTCCCCATGGTGGTGCTGCTTTACCTCTGCCACCACTCAGTGAGGCTTGTCTTAAAATGGACTTGACTGCTATACACGAGATCATAGAAAAGATCGGGTATAAAGATGATGAAGGTGTTGCATATGAGGTGTGTTTCTGATATACACCTTGTGAAACTTGTTTCATGCTCATGATCAACATTCAGATCTTTGGTACTTTGGCTTACTTGTTCACCATCTTCTGCATGTGTATGTTTGTATGCAAGCATGTTATATCATCAAAAAAGGCTGAATCAGAGTAATAAATCATATTTATTTTTATATACCATTCTGTTCTGCCTTAGGAATGTGTCTTTCGTTTGACTCTTAAATGTTGATGCTTCTGTCAAGATCTTGGTTAGAATAGAAGTCAATGTGATAACTTGATCCACTATGGTTTCCTTGGTCTTAGCTTGCAGGCGTATCCATTTTGACACTCGTAGTGTGTGTGTGTGTGTGTGTGTGTGTGTAAATTCTGCATAAATGTTCAATCACGGCGACACAAACTGACAGTTTAGTTGTTTTATATGCCTCTGAGAGTGAATGCATGTATCCTGTTTTATGCTGCTGTATTTCTTACGTTTGATGTATACTTCATTTGTCTTTTATCATTTAAGTTTTTCCTTGTAAATTTGGTTGTCTACTTAATTTTCATTTTTCTCTGATGCAGCTTTCATTCCAAATTTGGACCAACCAAATGCAAGAAACATTGAACTTGAAGAATAAGGGTGATGCTGCATTTCGACGCAAGGATTTCAAAGCTGCAATTGATAGCTACACACAGGTTTGAACGATTCATGCCTTGCAAGTTGTTAAGTTCCAAGGATGGGAAAAAAAATGATTTCTGTCCTCCTCTTGATTGGCGGATAAGATTATATAGTGCATCAACAGTGATTTCTTACAAATAGTTGTTAAAAAAGAGCTAAGGTGCTTAAATACCTTGAAAAGATCCACGAAGGAGCACCTAGTGCTGGAAGTTTTTTTCAGCTCTTATATGCTCTGGAAGTTTCATTTCCCAGCGTTTCTGTGCTGAACCGCTATTTGCTATTAAATTTGACCATTAAGTTTGCTAGGTGCTCTTTCGTGAATACTTGCAAGTGTTTGAGTAATTTGGTTATATTAAAGTAGGATCCACCAGATATGAGAGCGGCTGCTATGTGTAGCTAATACTTTGGTGGTTGTGTAATGCAGTTCTCTGAAGTCGGAACCATGGTTTCTCCGACAGTTTATGCTCGCCGAAGTCTATCTTATCTCATGAGTGATATGCCTGAGGAAGCACTTGACGATGCATTGCAGGCACAAGCAATATCCCCTCTCTGGTACATTGCATTCCATTTGCAAGCTGCTGCTCTATTTGCACTGGGCAGGGAGGATGAGGCCCATGTGGCACTCAAAGAGGGTTCTGCACTTCATAATAAAAAGAATACAAATTAGTTGAGGTCACTGCCCAAATTAGTTTTCCTGTTCCAGAAGACAACATTCAGAGAACACCACCCACGGCTCTCAATATTTGGGCAAATTAATCTGAGGCTTTTAGTCCTTATTTGGCAATTGTGTTACATGCATAGAGATCGGTTTATAGTCCCTCCTGCATAAACGTTTCCTTTGTTGCCAAGATCTTGAAAGGTTTAGGGAAAAACTTATGGTAGAGATTGTGTTTGTAAAGGATTCATCTGTAAAGTCCTGTATTTACTGGCTTGGTAGCAAATGCTTTTTATGTGATTGTAACTAATGTGTAAAGCAACTGGCTGCCGATAGGCTATTATTGTATTCATTTGTTTTACATCTAACATATTATTTAAATCTTCATCCTCTTGTTTATCATTTGATCTTTGTATAACATTTGAATTTGCCTAAGGAAAGCATTTGTAAGCAATTCCTTAGTTGCTGATCAGTAGTTGAATTTCACGAGCCATAGCTGATTATTAACAATGAATAATCAGTAATCAGCTAGTGGCCCCAAGCAGACATGTATATATTTCCCCATCACACCAAATCTTGATGAAAATTCTGATCATATACTGAGATTTTAGAAAAGGGAAGAAGTCAAAAGGACCTGGAATGGGTAGGAAACGCCATAATAACAACATTAAATAAGTTCCAAGGAGCAGGTAATGTTCAAACAAGATGATAATAACAATACCCACAACATGGTAGAATCAAAATCAAACACGGAATAGTTGAGAAACCAAATAATGCTTAAAAAAATTGACATAAAATAGAAATTATTCCCAGGCCATGAATGGGAGATCCCCAGAACGATGTGTTAAGGGCCCCTTGTTTCTTCTCACGAATGAGATCCACTTTCAAAGCACAAGACACACAAACCAAGCATGCAAAACCTCCCTCACCATATATATACAATTAATTATGGTCCCAAAGGCATCTTCATCTTGTGCTCTTAGTCATGCATAGGCTCTTCCTCGTCTTCAATCTCATCTTCCTGGGCGGCTGCATCCTGATACTGTTGATACTCTGCCACCAAGTCGTTCATATTACTCTCAGCCTCTGTGAACTCCATCTCATCCATACCCTCGCCAGTGTACCAATGCAAGAAGGCTTTTCTCTTAAACATCACTGTGAATTGCTCCGAAACACGCCTAAACATCTCTTGGATCGAAGTCGAGTTCCCCATGAACGTAGAGGAGATGGACAAACCAGTTGGTGGAATATCACAAACACTGGATTTTACATTGTTTGGTATCCATTCCACGAAGTACGATGAGTTCTTGTTTTGAACGTTGATCATTTGTTCATCCACCTCCTTAGTGCTCATTTTACCTCGGAACATAGCCGAGGCTGTCAGATATCTACCATGTCGTGGGTCTGCTGCACACATCATGTTTCTAGCATCCCACATTTGTTGAGTAAGCTCAGGAATGGTGAGGGCTCTGTATTCTCGGGAACCACGAGATGTTAAGGGTGCAAAACCAACCATGAAGAAGTGAAGGCGTGGGAAAGGGATGAGATTAACAGCCAGTTTTCGGAGATCAGAGTTAAGTTGGCCCGGAAAGCGAAGGCAACATGTTACTCCACTCATTGTTGTTGAGATCAAATGGTTGAGATCACCAACTGCAACACAACCACACTCAATTATCCAATAAACAAGAACACAAGACTTTAGACTAAACATCCTTAGTTATATAGTGGTGACTTTTGGGAAAAGGAAAGATAGGAAGAATGAGGAGACTTACAACTTGGATTAGTGAGCTTGAGGGTTCTGAAACAGATATCATAAAGAGCCTCATTGTCAAGGACCATGCATTCATCTGCATTTTCAACGAGTTGATGAACAGAGAGCGTGGCATTGTAGGGTTCCACAACGGTGTCAGAGACCTTAGGAGATGGGAAGACTGAGAAAGTCATCATCATCCTATCAGGATACTCTTCTCTGATCTTTGAGATCAGAAGAGTCCCCATTCCTGACCCTGTTCCACCTCCCAGTGAATGACACACTTGGAAACCTGTAAAATCGTAAACGAACTCATTCATATATAACTGTCAGTGAAACTTAAAACGTTGAATAAATAAACCATATAAGGAGTAGTAGTACCCTGCAGGCAATCACAGTTCTCTGCTTCTTTACGAACAACGTCGAGAACAGAATCAATAAGCTCTGCTCCCTCAGTGTAATGGCCTTTAGCCCAGTTGTTTCCAGCTCCATTTTGGCCAAACACGAAGTTGTCAGGCCTGAAGATTCTACCAAAAGGACCAGAACGCAGGCTGTCCATGGTCCCTGGTTCAAGGTCCATCAACACAGCTCTAGGAACATAGCGACCACCACTCGCTTCATTGTAGTAAACGTTTACCCTCTCAAGTTGAAGGTGGGAGTTGCCTACATAATTCCCAGTGGGATCAATCCCATGTTCATCACACATAACCTCCCAGAACTTGCCTCCAATTTGGTTACCGCATTGACCGGCTTGGATGTGCAGGATTTCTCTCATGGTGAAAGATTAGAAGTTTAGGAGAAAGTTTACAATATCAATTATTAGAGCAGAAGTTGAGAGGGGAAGAAGAGTCCTGAAAGCAGTGAGTGGGAAGGGAAGCCCTTTTGTAGTTGCAAGAGTGGAAGGATGAGAAGATTGAGATATTCAGATTTTGTCTTTCTGTCAAATGGGAAAAATATATATATTGGTGGGCGTTCAATTAATCAGTTCATGTGGGTTTGTTAGGAGGAGGCTATGTCAATCTCCAAGCAGACTAATTAGCTGGCTATGGAAGGTGACAATCAAGTTGCATGAAACTTCCTATGGCCTTATTACGCTCATCTGAATTATCAGTCCGTCCTACCATTTGATATCCCATCTGTCAATGAGATTCCAAATTGTCCATTTCTTGAGTTGGTCATCCTGCTATCCCAATGTGACTGGACAGTGAATTATCACCTCTTTTCCTAGGTAACCATTGGAAGCTTAAACTTTCATCGATAGCAGAAATGGAAGAGTGGGAAAGAGCATACTGCAAAAGATCAAAATTCTAGTTCCAAGTTTTTTACCACAACTATCAACTATACATGATGCAATACATTTAGATTGGAGTGTTGTCAAACTTAATTGGAAAAACCGTTTTGACAGGCATATTTTACATTCACAGGTTAAAGAACTCAAAGATCTGATATTTAATTTAAACAGTCATAGCCCTTTCCATTAGAATTAACGCCGGTTGATTTTCTTAGTACCAGTATTTGGGTTGAAAATTTTCGAAGCTTCCCTTCACTTAAAAATTTACTTACAAATTATCAATGGTTTTGCTGCCGGAGGTTCACACCAGAGATAACTTGCTTGTCTTGACAAGACTGCTTTTACCTCTGAACAACGTAATCTCGAATGACGGGTTCTATTAACAATTCCTAAACCCAACTGATAGGTGTATCGATATATGAGCTGAGAGATACAAGGCCAGCAAGCAGAATTCGGATTCAATTATTGAAGCCACCAAAGCTCCGTGGCAGGCTGTCTCCTTCTCAATACAATTATTTGCGTACCAAATAAAGAACTAGTGGTGATTGGAGAGGGAATCGGAATCCTAAATCATTTCTTTTTAGAGAGATGATATTTATTCCGTCGTTCTCAAGGTTGCAGAAATTACAAACCAGAGTGTCCAATGATATCTTATATTGACTGATCAACAAAAGCCATATAGGATTTACCATGTAATGCTGTTGATAAATGGTTTTCTAGTAATTAGTGACTGAGTTGGGATGTTCAATCCACAACAATAAACCACTCCAGACCTAAAGTAAGCCAATTGAGTTTGGGGAAGTCTCACTTTCTCCAAGTCAAATCTTCACCAATAAATCTTTAGACCCATAAGTATATATTATTACTGAAAAAAAGATTGGCATTCAATGCGTAACATCCTCGAGTCTATATCAGCAGAGGGGAGGAAATTTAAAAGCAAACCCGTACCTACCACAAACATTGATCTACTGCCACTTTTGACAAGATGAGTAAGCTGACGAGCTTTTCACATTTATTTATGAAGCGTTCGAACATCAGTTTGATCACATCATGTCTTGAATGAAAATGGCATGGGTAACCTCATGACAGAATTTACATCAGAAATTATTTCCTAAGTAATCATCAATCATCAAGTGGCTCAGAACAGACAACCAGCACCACAACTGACGAAGAAAAAATCCTACTGAACTGTCACAAGCGGCAGCCACTTGAACGCTCCTCAGTATAGCAATTCCTCGTATACAGGATCTACAGATTGCCCCCACTTTCCATGATACAAATCCAAAAGCTTTTCAGCTGGTGTAACACCTGCCACCACAAAAAGTAGTATGCACAATACTAAATAAAACAGGGGGAAAAGAACATGAGCATTCTTGGTTGAAAAAAACGTCCAATGGAAATTTGTTTTAGGGGCGTCCAAGTTGTTTTCTTTTTCTTTTTTTCTTTTTTCTTTTTTCTAATTTTGAAGTCTCTGGTATGCTCGTACTTTTGTGTATATTTTACTGGGAGGGGAAGAAAACCTGCAAATCAGTTACCTGTTCTAACCACCTCAGCAACCTCATTCAAGAAACCAGTTTCCTTAAAGCCTCTTCTTTCCAAACCATCCTAAAGAAGTATACAAATGCGGTTAATAAGATAGATGACAATAACAGAAATAGCAAAATAATGACACATACTTTCGAAAATTTTAGAACATCTTCAGCAACATGCTTCAGCAAGCCATCTCGGAATGGTGTCTTTAGACCATATTTGGGGACCTACCAGAAAATGCCTCCAATGGTCAGAACTCAATAAAAATCTAGAATGAACAATGACCATCAAAGAAATAGCTGTTATATGCATGATGTAACTAAAAGCACACAGTAGTCCTAATGAAAATATGGAGAACCATTTTATAGGATTTAAAAAAAAAAAAAAGGCCTCCTCCAGTCCACTATAAAGGTCCTTTTCTGTCAGCTTTGCTTGATCCAAAATACAAGTCCAATTTGATAATATCTAGAATATTAAACATTTTTAATGATGTAACTTCTATGTATACCATTTTTGGTTTTACATTAGTTAAACTGGACTCATATTATGAGCCAGGGGAGTATTTCTGCTTGAGCATCTGTGAAAGTGTGTAAAACACCAGAGAAGGAACACTTTTATCAACATATAAATTTCAACCGATATTTAGCCTGCTAAAAATAGTGACTCTCTGATGGCACAAGCTTGCATAGAATATACAAAAAATGATCATCAACGACGCATCCACACCAAAAGAAGTGCCTTTTCAGTTTTTACTACATTGAAACAAAATATCACTTCAATGGGCGGCTAGTATGATGAGAATCTAACTCGTACACAGAAAGGAAGTGAGGATAAGTAAATTAAACCCTTAAAATTGATTTAAGACAAATGAAATTTTTTAATGTTTTGACGTTACCTTATCCCTTAGCATCTGTCTCTCTTCTGGGGTCCAATCAGCTGTCATATCTAAGACATTCTGTAGAGAAACCTCATCATACAATAAGCCTACCTGATATGAGAAAAATCACAATAAGTTAATGCAGCTGAGTTACAGTAATTGATGAGTTGCAAATGAAGATAAAAATTATGTTCTGTGCAAGCAAAGATTAATGCCTTAGTTATCATATGCAAAAGACGACAGAAAAATGTCATTGCTTGTTCCAAATCAAGATGATAGGTCATTAAATGATTGCATGACTTGGCTTCAAAGATTAGCCTGTATGATGGTCGCAGGTAAAATAAGACCAGAAATATTATGCATAGTAAAATGCTACCCACCCAAAATGCTGGTAAAGCACATAACCTTCTCCAGGGCCCTCCATCAGCACCTCTCATCTCCAAGTACCTCTTTAGCCTAACCTGAAAATAATAGAATAAAAGTACCAAAAAATTCAACTAAGAACGACCTCAGATGCTGCCATATCATCGGATAAGCATCAGATAACGGCCAATTATGGAACTGACCTCAGGAAATATAGTTGTCAAGTGATTTTCCCAATCATTTAGTGTTGGCAATTCACCAGGAATGCAAGGAAGCTTCCCTTCCATAAAATCCTGCAATATTTTGAACTCAAAGTGATCAATTCTTACCCAAAAAATAAAAGGATCAATTCTACACCCTTAACAAACCAAGGCTTGAATGTAAAAGTCGTCTAAGAGAGAAGTTTCAAAACAAAGGATGACGGTGCAATATAAGCTAGCCTAAGATAATAAAAATGTCAAAGAGAGGTGAAAACCCTGAAGGTCATTCCGGCACAGTTGACATATTCCCCTTTCCGATAGACAAAATACATCGGAACATCTAGAGCATAATCAACATACTGCTCAAAGCTGCAATTGAAGAGTTCAAAAGAAGTCAGAATGGATGAAGTAAGATTAATAAGATTTCAAGGTAAAAAATGATACTAGTCACTGACGAAGACAATAGTATCACAACAATTTTTGTTTGAAGTTCTCAACCAAAGAGTTTAGGTTAACAACAATTTCATTCAATTCTTACTGCATGTGAATAGTTAAAAAAACAGAAAAGAATGAAAAAAGAAACCACAAACTCAGCACTGGAAAAATAAATTGATAATATACTTTTTAATGACAATGCAAGATGACACATTTTTTCCCAAGAAGAAATTTAAATAATCCGTAACTCGGCAGAGCCCCCCTTTAGGCCTAGTAAATAATAATTACAAAGTTTGAGAATGCCAGGTCCTGACACTGATATTATGTTGATATTGAGATTGAGCATGCCAAATGTTAATGTATTGCATTCTACCATCCAATGCATGTAAAATTCAAATACGTGTAATTTAGATTTGGACCATCAATATTAAGGATTAGCTCAAAGCTTGGAAAATCTGACAAATAAAAAACTTCACTGTGTTTTCATGCCATCTTTCAAATTCAAAGCAAGCCAGGAGCCTGGAGGCATTTTGCTCGCATTATAGTGATTCATGAATCACGAATTATCTCAAATTATAAAACTTACCAAAAGGAGTCATCAAAAACAAATGGCAGCATCCCTGTGCGGTCCTTATCAGTATCAGTCCATATATGGCTGTTTTAAGAAAATAAGAAACGAATAAGATATATAGCAAGAATGCAGACTGCAGAGAACGTAAGGTGACACCCAAATGACAATTTACCTCCTCATACTGAGAAGACCATTTGGCTTTCCTTCTTTGAAGGGTGAATTTGCGAATAGAGCAGTTGCTATCTGTTTGATATAGAGTATTAGTTATATTTCACATCATACCACAAATCTCCAAAGGAAAGAAAAGATTAATACTCCTTACAGGCTGTAAGGCCAGACCAGCACGAAACTTCCTTATCATGTCTGCTTCAGAACTGAAGTCTAGATTGACCTATAAAAGTAAAGCCTGAAATATATCAATATTCAGCATGAGAGATGGTCAAAATATTGCTTCAGAATATTTTATTTTCACCAAACCCAAAATAGGATGCCTTAGGAAATAATCAGCTCATAAAATATCATAATCTCACCTGTACAGTGCATGTTCTGAACATCATGTCAAGTCCAAGGGAACCAACTTGAGGCATGTAATTTCTCATTATTTCATATCTTCCCTGAGCCAAAACACCCATGTAAGAGAACATGTAATAGACTATTGAAGACCATTATCACTCTTCAGTCACCGAGTGGAATCAGACCCGCCTCCCCTCATGTTAATTGCACGCAGACAACAGACTAAATAAACAAAACCACAAAGAAAGACCACTGCTGCACTAACAAGAGATGTTCTAAACAATCAATTAAGTAATAACCCTTTGTATTACTGTAGAATAACAATGATCCCAGTAGCTTAACCT